TGACAGGTATCTTTCAAGATGTCTACAAATTAATGGTATAGCCCTTCATTAGGCTGAAACTAACTACAAAATTTATGGTTTTTCTCAAACTCATATGAACCATAATTAGAGGTATAAAAGGGCTGTGTATTAAAAATAAGAAGAGAGATAAAAGAAAATGTTTTATTGTTGCTTAATAACAATGAGAGACAAAAGGGAAGAATTGGAAGAAAGAGAATGCAGTGGGCATTTATAGTTTTTATCACATACCTTTTACCAGGGAAGAACTACCCTGACTTTCCTTTGAGAATTATCTTTTCCTCCACTCTGAACTCCTATTATGTGGTTTTAGAGAGCATCATATTTACTCTCTGGGAGCCCCGAAGGGACCTCATAAATCAGCCTGTTCCCCACCCACGACCAATAAAGGTGGCTGAGCCAAAGTTGGGCCATTTTAGGCCAGTGAAAGCAGGCTGAGCATGAAAACCAAGCAGTGAGATTGTGAATTCTGCAGCTGTTGCAGGCATCATATAATGGAGAAGGAGAGCCGAAGAAAGAAAACAGCACAATGCAGAGAACAGAACCTCATCAAGCTGAGATACAGAGAGAATCATGTCTGGGTGGCAGTGAGATTCTGCATCAAGCAATACCTAAAAGGGTTTCCTACCACTGAACTCCCTATTATGTTAGCTCAGAAATTCTAGTTTGCTTTAAACCAGTTTAGGTTGAGTTATTTGACACTAGCAGCTGAACATGTTCTGACTCATTGTATTCCTTATGGTAAATAATGCCGGCTACTTTAAGAGACAACGTTCCCAAATTCAGGGCTTTACGGTAAATGTTTGTTTTCTCATTCATATCTCAGTCTAATGGCAACTGTTGGGAGGGCTCAGCTCCAGGTGGTCCTTAAAAGACTGGGCTTTTTTTTTGTTTTTTGTTTTTTTAATGTCTTGACCTCTTTCAGGTTCTCGTAGTTTTCTGCATGTAGGTAGTAGATGGATAAAGAAGATAAAGAAGATATGATTGTGGAAAATTTTTATGGCCCAGGCCTGGGAGTGTTGCATTTCACTTTCTCTCATACTCATAGGTTAGAATTCAGTTCCATCAAACTGCAGGAAAGTCTAGAAAATACAATCCAGTTACATACCAGGAAGTGAAAAAAGACAGATATTCATAGGCACTAACAGTACCTGCCACAGTCTAAACTCCTCATCACGAAATATCTTTTAGCTTCCTTCTGCTCATACACTAACCATACTCATCCCTCTGCAAAAGGACGCAGCCATGTCATTCTGTCTGCGGCCTCCTGGTGATGTTACCTTACCTCTGTCAAGCCTGTATACAACTGGCTGCTTTGATTTGATTACCTGTGAATTAAAAAGACACGAAATCTAGTTTCTCCTTTTCCACACAAACCTTATTTGTAAGATGGAAAGGGGGGCAATAAAAACTCCTATTCAGGGAGTGAAAAAATGGAAAGCATTTAAAAATTCTACTGGGCACACATTCAAGAAATTTATTTGATTAGACCCTGATTCTGCTCTTTCAGAAGAACTCCCTTGTCAATTTTTTCCCTTGGCCTCTGATTCACCTTCCCTGAAGTTGCTTCTTGTCTATCATCCACCATGGTTTCGTCTAAAGAGGGGATTGAGAAGCATCCTATTCGTGAGGATGTACCAGTCAGTACCTCACCGAAAAACAGACGGTATGCTCAAATTAGGATAATTTAAGGGGGATTTACTTATAACAGGACTATGTACAGAGGGGTGGGAAGGGGAAGGGAAGCAACAAGGATAACCCACGCTGAGTATCTGTTGAGCTTTTGACACCCCTAGGTCCTAGAGTATGAGAGAACACAGTGATTAGCAGAATTCAGAAAAAAAGAGTCTCTTGTAGAGAAGCTCATTCTGCAAGTTTTGGCCCTTAGGAATGATGGACATCCAGCCTAAGACAACCATGCCGGTAGGGAACCAGGGGAACAAGCAGCCTAACTTCTCCTCTTGCTTTCTTCCAGTCTCTTGGTAGCAGAGATTACTCCGTGGTGGCTGCCCTTCTGTTTTCTTCTTCCTCTTGCTTCTCTCACCCTATCTTGCTCTATGAGGGCATACGGGAAACAGAAAAGAGGAATCTTACATGATTCTTCTTTTGGAGGAATCATGCATGATGGCGTGCATGGCAATTCTACTTTTAATTCTGAAAAATATTATAGATTAATCTTAGAATAAAGAGATTGTCTAAATATAAAATGTAAAGAAACATGAATTAAAAAGGAAAAACAGATGTAGCATTCCAGAATTGACTATGTGATGAAAATATGGTGCGAAGTTAGGTGTTCAAATAGAGAAGCTGAGAGTTTACAGACAGGGCCATCTTTGAGATACATTGATTTGATCGCCACCTAATTGTTTTAATCATGCTTCTCTTTGGTTAGTTTCACATAGTTCATGTCACATCTAACCTCTCACAAAAAAGACACAGATTATGATTCATCTACTTCCAATTAGCATATTTATTTCTGCTAGCTGAAACACTTCTGACACCCTGTGAAAAGGAAATTCTTGAAAAATTTTTGCACATAGCAAGTCTGTCCACTTGGAAACACATTTGCGTACTTTATATTTTTATATGTTTTTCAGTTTAAAGTGCTTTACAAATATAATTTCAATTAATCTTCTCAACACTATAACATAGTTAGTGTGATTTCTATTTGCACTAAAATGAAAGTGAGGCTTGGAGTGGTTAAGTTACCAACCCAAGGATTCGGGAAGGGGGTTATGGATCCAGGCCTCCCCTGCACTTGTAATTCCTGATATCAAACTTTGCAGCACAAACTTGACTCATTGTCCAGAATGCATGATGCGTCGCAACATCCAGAAATGTCTCCCGAATTGGGATATCAGCCTGCCCCAGACCACACTATTAGTATTAGATCTGCTCACATTTGTCAGTCTTAATTCTTTCTTCTGTGGAGGCTGCTAGACCTGCTTCTTGGGTCTCTCTGTCAGCAGGCAAAGAAACAAATCAATTGTCACTTCTTTAGTGCCATGCACATGGTATTCTTTCATTAAATGCCATTAAACTGAACTTAAAATTCCCATGGAAAAGTTAGCACAGGGCCACATTTTTACAAAGAGCGTCTCTCTCTTTCTCTTGCTTATGTGGATCCTGATCATAGAATTCCTCAAAAAACTTTTCCACTCCCACTGTGTATAGTCCACAATTTTTAGCTTTATATTCAGTACTCTGAAAAATCTCATTCAAACCTTTCTTTTCAACTTCAATTTTTACCACCTTTGGGAACATCTTATTTTCTACTCTAGCCAAATGTCTCCCAACTATATCATAGAAAAGAAATCAAAGTCCATGATTCCAGAATTTTGCTTATTCCCATGTCTCCTGCAGGAACATCCTCCCCTCTGAACTCAACCAGAATGCCTGAGTTTCTCCAGGGACTAAGGACAGTTATTATTTTCTCTCCTTGTATCAGAGTTCAGCCCAGGAAGCAAAAACCACCCCAGATACTTTCACAGAAATGGATTAAATTCAGGAAAATAGTCAGGAGAGCTGGAAGATCAGGAGGTTGCCTCTCAGTTATTGATTGTAAGGTCACACCATTTTAGCTGCAGTTCAGCAGTGAGGAAGTTACTGCTATAGGAGCTTCTTGTGGTCACCAAGCTGGTGACGATGCATTCAAATGCAAAGTAAAGATGATTTTGATCAAATTAGTGATTAAGTGCCATAATCTTTTGCAGATTTAATTGTGAACCGGTGGATTTGAGAGAACATTTAACTTCGATTTGATTCTTTATTATTTAAAAATAGTTTAGTAACAAAAGTAATGCATTCTAAGTGAAGAAAATACTCAAACAATACAGAAATTTATCCTTTCAGGACCTCCCCCATTGAAGTCCACATCCCTGAGGTGACCATGGTACATAACTGCCTTCCAGCTTTCAAATCTTATTATGGAAATATACTATAAATACACACATACACCCCTGCCCCCAACACACACACACACACACACACACAGTATTTCTGCCCCCAAACAGGATTATATTATAAACATGACATTGACAATTGTATTTGCCACTTCACTACATAGGACCTCTATCTCTTTCAGTGTATATTTTAAGGGCAGTGTAGTATTCCATTCTGCATGGTGCTTTACATTCAGTTTCTCATTTTTGTATTATAATTCACAGTTTGCAAAGCATCTTCATATTCATCATGTCATAGCTGAAAGCTTTGTTCAAACAAATCTGGGCTCAATTCAATAAAAAAGAAGGAATCAACAATCACTTTTCACATTAGTACTCTATGTACATATGACCTAAGAACCCAGAGGGGACTTACTGGCATGGTCTGGATTTGTTGGTATTTTAAAACATTTTTGTGAGTGACTCAATCAGCGAGAGAGCAAATGGAAATAAGGTTTCAATTTGTTTCTTCTTCTTCTGTGATCCCATTGAGTTCCTGAGCACCAGTGATGAAGGGTAGATTGAATTAGACAGCCTAAGTTTGACCAGAAGACTAAATTTGCCCTGGTGACTTCATCTGAGCTGTGACACTTTCCCTGATTTCATAGGGAGCTCCTTGGGGACTGAGAGTGAGTGAGTTGAAAAGCTGGCTCAGTGTTTGCTGAGAGTAAATCTACTTTATGAGGCAGCTATATGGGGGAGGGGAATGTTATTTTAACACCTCTCCTACTCAGTGCTCTAGTGGAATGCTCAAGGTCCCAGCCTCTTTTTGTGCTATTTAAGCAGCAAATGATTTTTTACACCAGGAAGACTCAACTCCTTTAGAAAAGAATATTCTTTGTATTCCTATACCCTTTACTAGAGATTCTTAAGATCCTTCCAGATGCAAAGTGCAGAGTTGTCTATTCAGTACCATTTGACCATCTCTCAAATAGCCTGGTGTTTAGTTTCAAGCCATTCATCATGGCTTGAAATACAACATAAGAGGAGGCAAAAGTCCTAAAAGGTCTTTGTCATACTTGAAAAACACACATAGCATACCTGAAGGGGCCCTCTCTATCTTCTATCTTCTCTTGCTTTCTTTCATTGGCCCAATAGCAAGCAGTAGTGATACACAACTCTGGCCCTCCCAAATCTCATGTCCTTCTCACATTGTCAGAGGCATTTAAACTAGAGCAACTCCATCTTGAATAGGGTCTGGGTAAAATGGTGCTGACACCTACTGGGCTGCATTCTCAGGAGGTGAGGTATTCTTGGTGCCTAAGGGATGAGATAGGAGATTAGCACAAGACACAGGTCACAAAGACCCCACTGATAAAACAGGATGCAATAAAGCAGCCAGCCAAAACCCTCCAAATCCAACATGGTGATGAAAGTGACCTCTGGCCATCCTCACTGCTCGTTATTGGTTAATTATAATGCCTTAGCATGCTAAAAGACACTCACACCAGTGCCATGACAGTTTAAAAATGCGATGTCCAGAAGTTACCCTATGTGGTCTAAAAAGGGGAAGAACCCTCAGTTCTGGAAATTACCCACCCTTTCCCAGAAAACTCGTGAATAATCCACCCCTTATTTAACATATGATCAAGAAATAACCATAAAAATAACCAACCAGCAGCCCATGGGGCTGCTTTGTCTATGGAGTAGCCATTCTTTTATTCCCTTTCTTTTTTTTTTTTTTTTAAATTATTATTATACTTTAAGTTCTAGGGTACATGTGCATAATGTGCAGGTTTGTTACATATGTATACTTGTGCCATGTTGCTGTGCTGCACCCATC